AGCCACACAGTCCCACCATTTCACCACGTCCCCCACCTCCCTCTCTTCCACACTGAGCCTCTCCCACAGTGCTGCAAACCCCTCCAACCCCTCCTCATCACCTAGCATGCTTGTGTTCAACTTCCAATAACTCCTATACCTTCCTGCCAGTGACTCCCACCCCACCTCTACCACTACTGCCCGATGATCCGAATAAGCTACCTCCATAGTGTGAAAAAATTTAACAAAGACCCCCTGTGAGAGATACAATCTAACCTAGCTGCATAACCTCGCTGCAGAAACGTGTGCTCCACCTCCCAAGACCCCCCAAAAGCATCCCTTAAATGTATAGCCCTCAAAAGGTCACGTAAGACCTGCGACACATACCCTGCCCCTTTTGGTTCCATGTCTGCTCTCCTGACAATGCAGTTCCAGTCTCCACCTACTAGTGCCATGGATGGCAAGGCTCGCAAGAAAACTCTAGGTCATCCCACACAAAATCTGTTTTCACAAGCACATCATTTTCTGCGGGAGAGTCCATACACTTACAAAAGACACCCTCTCCCCCATCCACCACCCATCCACACACAAGACCCTCCCCCTCCTCCCCCTCGCTTCTCTGCAAAACAAACGGGCTCACCTCCTGGATCAAAATACTCACACCTTCTTTTCAACATGCAGATGGCAGTGTCATCACCTGATACCCTTCCACTTCCAACACTCTACCCTCCTTAAAATTGTGTTCTTGTAGAAACACGACATCCACCTTAGATTTATACAAAAACACCCTAAACCATTCTCTCTTCATCCCATTACACAATCCATTAACATTCACTGCCATACACCTGAGGCCACTTAAAGTTTCCATCCCTGCCTCTTCTCGACACTCTTCCCAGGTCCACCAGAACTTGGGGCACCACCTGTCACCCTCACACCACCTTCCCGCTCTCCCCCCCTCTTTCATTGCTGCCTGTTGTGGCCACCACTACAATCCCCATCCACCCAAGACTTCTTCCCAGGCTGCTGTGCCAGCGTCAAGATATCATTTGAATCTGAAACCACAGCCCACTTCCTCGTGATGATCTCTTCCTCCATGTCACTGTCCAGGGAGGCCACACACTGGACCTCTACCTCCACTGTACGTTGTTTCACTGAACACGGTGACTTCTCAGACATGCTGTTAGGCTTATGCTCCCTAAGGTGCTTCTGCCGCTCGCTCACCACAGCCAACAGCTCAGTACCAGCCACCTGCTCAGGTACATCCACCTCTGCAGGCAGTGACGAGGTCTGCAACACCATAACCAGCTCCTCCTCTAGCACCAGCACTTCCTCCTGTACCTGTGCCTCGTCACTTGCCGCCGGTAAGGTCTCGGGGGCCCGTTAACTCTTCAAGGGCCCCGCTCTCTCCCGATGCTACTAGCGTCTCCTCCAGTATCTTGCTCCATAGACGATCACACCCTCCATCATGCCGTTGTGCCTCAATGGCTACCTCCCTCACAGGAACAGGTGCGTCTGCCGCTGGGCCGTGCACTGTTGCCGCTTCCCACTCACCTCTGCCATGTGATCGTAATCTCCACATAAGCTGCATGTACACCTCTGCTCGGTGTACGACACCATGACCTGTGTTTATAATCCACCAGGTACATGTAAGATGGTTTGGGGTGCCACAAAGCATTTTCAGAGTAAAGGTGCCTTCCGGGAGACCTGCATAAGCCCCTGACACCCACTTACCAAGCTGGGCCATATAAACAGTCCCATATGCTTCAAATACACTTCTGATGTCTGCTTCATCCGCCTCCGCCTCAAAAGGGATGTTGCAAAGCTTAATCCATGTAAAATGATGGGAAACGTCAATCATCCATACACGAACAGCTTCACACGCTAAGTGTCCGGGTTCGATTCCCTGCAAGGGTTGAAAGATTGGGTGTTTCCTTACACCAGTTGTCCGTGTTCACCCATCGTTCACTTTAAACCAGCATATAATAGAGCCAACGAGACTGGAAAATACACTGGATCTCATCTTCACCAACAATGATGATCTAATATGGAATATAACAGTATCAAAGACAATACACTCAGACCATAACACAACAGAGGTACAGACATGTATATATGCAGAGCTCCTGACCAGTTATGTAGATGCCCTAATAAAATTCAACTTCAATAACAAAATCATATAGTGGGATCAAGTCAGCCATGTCCTAAATGAAACAAGCTAGGAAGATATCCTAAACAACACGGATCCAAACCTTTGCCTAGAAACAATTACCTCTGTGGCACTTGAGGTATGCTCAATCAAGCCACGTTCCTTTAAGAAAAAGGAAGAGAAGATGTAAACTAGAAAGAGATGCTCCCTTTAGAGGTAAAGACAAAGAATCACAGAACTGCTGAAAGAGGCCAGTATATCCGAAATAGGAAAGGAGGGACTGCTCAGAGAAATAGCAGATATCGAGCTTAAGCTTAAGGAATCATACAAAACATTTCTTTCTTATGTCAAATCTAAGGCCAAAACGCCATCCAGTATTCAACCCCTACTAAGACGAGAAAAGACCTACACGGGTGATAGCAAAGAAATAAGTGAGATACAAAAGAAGTCCAAATATGACTCGGTATTTAGTGAGCCATTAACCGGAATAAGAGTTGAAGATCTAGATGATTTTTATATGACCAAGACTCAAAATTTGGTCAAATCAAAAATCTCCGATATTATCCTAATATCATAAGACTTAGAAAAAACAAGGGCAAGAAGCCCCGTTCACAAGCCTCCAGCATTCTATGGAGAGGGAGCAGAGACACAGGAGTCATCCCACAGTTACTAATAACAACAGACATAGCCCCCCTCCACAAAGGTGGCAGTAAAGCAATTGCAAAGAACTACAGACCTATAGCAAGATCACTACCCACTTAGATATCCATCAGTTACACAACCTAAGGCAACATGGGTTTAGAGCAGGCTGCTCCTACCTGTCCTAACTACTGGACCACTATGACATTGCCTTAGATGCACTGGAGGACAAACAAAATGCAGATATAGTATACACAGACTGTGCGAAAGCCTTCGACAAAATGAATGATAAAGGATTAACAGGAAAATTGGTAGATGGATCTATAACTTCCTAACAAATAGAACACAAAGAGTAATAGTAAACAGAGTAAAGTCTCGGGCAACCACAGTGATAAGCTCTGTTCTACAAGGCACAGTACTCGCCCCCATTCTGTTCCTTATCCTCATATCTGACACAGAGATGTAAGCCACAGTACCACGTCTTCCTTTGCGGATGACACCCGAATTTGCATGAGTATCATCCATTGATGACACAGAAAGACTCCAAGCGGACATTGTGCCATGGAAAAACAATATGAAGTTCAGTGAAGAGAAATTTCAAACTATTCCGATATAGAAAACTCGAGGAAATTAAAAGTGTATCGGAGTATAAAATGAATTCCAATCACACAATGGAACGAAAAATTAATGTGAAAACCTGGGGATGATAATGTCAGAGGATCTTTCTTTCAAAGATCACGATGTATCTACCACAAGTGCTAGGAAAATGATAGGATGGATACTGAGAGCCTTCAAAAGTAGAGATGCCAAACCCATGATGATTCTCTTCAAATTACTTGTTCTGTCTAGGCTGGAATATTGTTGCACACTAACGGCCCTTTTCAAAGCAGGCGAAACTGCAAACCTGGAGAATGTACAGAGAACTTTCACGGCATGTATATGTATGATAAAGCAGCTAAATTACTAGGAATGATTGAAGTCCCTTGATTTGTACACCCTGGAACAGAGGCGAGAAAGATACATGCTGATATACACTTGGAAAATCCTAGAGGGCCTAGTCCCAAATTTGAACAGGAAAATCACTCCCTACGAAAGCATAAGACTGGACAGGAAATGAATCATCTCGCCAATGAAAACCAGGGGCGCCACAAGTATACTAAGAGACAACACAGTAAGTATCAGGGGCCCAAGACTGTTGAACTGCCTCCCAGCATACATAAGGGGGGTTACCAATAGATCCCTGGCTATCTTCAAGAAGGCACTGGACAGGCACCTAAAGTCAGTACCTGACCCGCCGGGATGTGGTTTGTACGTCAGTTTGCGTGTGGCCAGCAGTAACAGTCTGGTTGATCAGGCCCTGATCCACCGCGAGGCCTGATCGCAGACCGGGCCGCGGGGGCGTCGACCCCCGAAACCTTTTCCAGGTATTCAATTATAAGTACAATAAGAAAGGTAGGTAATGACGAATGGTCAGTTACAAAGAATTATATATTATTTCAAACTGATTTAATTTTGTGGGGTGAGTGAGTAGAGACGGAGATACAACAAGTTACTTAATTATAATGTAAAATCAATGGAAGAAGATGTTTGACCAGTTATGTATGGGAGTTGAAGGAAGGTTGGAAGAAGAACAGTGACACAACTGGATAAAAACTGGTTTTGTTTGACACATCAAATTGCTGTTTTAGTCACGTTAAGGAGATGATGAGCTTTTTAATTATAGTTCTGAATCGATTGGCTGATAAGAGACTTTTTGATACTTCAGGCAGGGAGCTTCAGTGCATACTGAGTCTTTTTTCAAAGGCTGAGTTGGACACTGGAGATATCAAAGAGGTTTTTGTGCCTTGTGTTATGCCTGTGTGTTGTGTTGCAGCTGTCAAAGACAAGTTTCACAGAAGAGTTTATACTGGAATTGATTATTCTATATATAAAGTTGAAGGACAAAAGGAAACCCACATCTCAGGCTGGCAACTTGGTCAAGTTACTGATTAAGTTGAGAAGGAAAAAAAACAGAACTAGAGTGATAGCAGTAGTTGAAACCTTAAAAACTTGTTTGTGAAATTTAGATACGTACTGAATAATACAGATACTGTTTAAGTTTTATTTCTGCACTGCAACTGGGAGCCCACAGATTTGTTTGGTGTCAGGTTTACAAAATAGTAATACGACAATCAACATTGAAATGACACGTGAGAGTACACTAACATAGCCAGAGTATACTTAGACTCAATGTTACCTGAGTGACAGTAGAGGAGTAAGTCGAGTTGAAGTAACGAGCACGACACGGGACAGTCTTCTTGTGGTCTTCATAGGTGTCCACTTGTAACAGCAGGCGGTCAGGGTCGCGAATGCTTTGCTCATAACCAAGAACTGCCGCGTGGGAGTAGTTATAGTCATACATGTCACAAGACTCATACTGCCCCGTCACATTACTGTCAATAAAGCCAAATGATGATTGAAGAATTAACATGAGAATAAAATAAGATTTCTTTTGAAAATTGTAATCAGCATACTATTGTTTATCACCAGAATATAAAATATTCACTTCCTCAAACTTTTTTTTAAAGTACTGTACGTACAAATGTTGAAAATACATCATTTGATGATCATTCATAAGTAACTTTAATAACTTATTGCAGTTTCACGTTTCTTAGTAATAATTTACACTAAACATCCGTATACATCGTTGCTACTATTGTTCTCAAATATTCATTCAAATTCCAATCGCTTAGTTTTACTGGTTTTTTTCAGGTTCCACCTGTTAGATCAGCTCAATCATAAGTGAAATATTAGGTTACAATTCATCATACAATATATATTAACACAGTTATAACCGTACTTTTCAATGAATACAAAAAAACACTATAAACGTCATTACCTGTAATATCATTATCTTACGATAAACATTTGTTACTCCACTGTATTGTAATAATTAATATTTTATTCTTCCATGTTTTGTAATTTTCAGATTAATCTTGCATGAGGAACTCAATAAATAAAAAATAACTTAATGTAAGAAATTAAATATCTCTCTCCATTATTTTCTTGAATAATTTTTGTGACTTTAGTAGTACCGAACAGTACAGTACAGTACTCCAACAGTACTGTACTGTACTGCACAGTACTGTAAAAGTACGGTACAATACAGGATAGATGCAGTATAAACAACTTTGTGAAAGCCTTCGACAAATGCGATCATGGTGTAATATCATACAAAATGTGTGATAAAGGAAAAACAGGAAAAGTGGTAGATGGATCTATAATTTCCTAACAGAACATAAAGTGTGACAGAAAACACAGTAAAGTCAGTGGCGGCTGCAGTCAAAACCTCTGTTCCGCAAGGTATGTCTGGGATGTGTGGTTGACGGGAGAGGACGTGTGGTTGACGGGAGAGGACGTGTGTGGTTGACGGGAGAGGACGTGTGTGGTTGACGGGAGAGGACGTGTGTGGTTGAGGGAGAGGACTGGGTGGTTGACGGAGAGGACGTGTGTGGTTTGAGGGAGAGGACGTGTGTGGTTGACGGGAGAGACGTGTGGTTGAGGGGGAGAGGACGTGTGTGGTTGAGGGGAGAGGACGTGTGTGGTTGACGGGAGAGGACGTGTGTGGTTGAGGGGAGAGGACGTGTGTGGTTGAGGGGAGAGGACGTGTGTGGTTGACGGGAGAGGACGTGTGTGGTTGACGGGAGAGGACGTGTGTGGTTGACGTGGAGAGGACGTGTGGTTGACGGGGAGAGGACGTGTGTGGTTGAGGGAGACGGGTGAGAGGACGTGTGTGGTTGAGGTGGAGAGGACGTGTGTGGTTGAGGGGAGAGGACGTTGTGTGGTTGACGGGAGAGGACGTGTGGTTGAGGGGAGAGACGGTTGTGTGGTTGACGGGAGAGGACGTGTGTGGTTGACGGGAGAGGACGTGTGTGGTTGACGGGGGTTGACAGGAGAGGACGTGTGTGGTTGACGGAGAGGACGTGTGTGGTTGAGGGGAGAGGACGTGTGTGGTTGAGGGGAGAGGACGTGTGTGGTTGACGGGAGAGGACGTGTGTGGTTGAGGGGAGAGGACGTGTGTGGTTGAGGGGAGAGGACGTGTGTGGTTGACGGGAGAGGACGTGTGTGGTTGACGGGAGAGGACGTGTGTGGTTGACGGGAGAGGACGTGTGTGGTTGAGGGGAGAGGACGTGTGGGTTGACTGGAGAGGACGTGTGTGGTTGAGGGAGAGGACGTGTGTGGTTGACGGGAGAGGACGTGTGTGGTTGAGGGGAGAGGACGTGTGTGGGTTGACGGGAGAGGACGTGTGTGGTTGAGGGGAGAGGACGTGTGGTTGACGGGAGAGGACGTGTGTGGTTGAGGGGAGAGGACGTGTGGTTGAGGGGAGAGGACGTGTGTGGTTGACGGGAGAGGACGTGTGTGGTTGACGGGAGAGGACGTGTGGTTGAGGGGAGAGGACGTGTGTGGTTGAGGGGAGAGGACGTGTGTGGTTGACGGGAGAGGACGTGTGTGGTTGAGGGGAGAGGACGTGTGTGTGTTGAGGGAGAGGACGTGTGTGTTGACGGGAGAGGACGTGTGTGGTTGACGGGAGAGGGACGTGTGTGGTTGAGGGAGAGGACGTGTGTGGTTGAGGGAGAGGACGTGTGTGGTTGAGGGAGGACGTGTGTGGTTGACGGGAGAGGACGTGTGTGGTTGAGGGGAGAGGACGTGTGGTTGACGGGAGAGGACGTGTGTGGTTGAGGGGAGAGGACGTGTGGTTGAGGGGAGAGGACGTGTGTGGTTGAGGGGAGAGGACGTGTGTGGTTGACGGGAGAGGACGTGTGTGGTTGAGGGGAGAGGACGTGTGTGGTTGAGGGGAGAGGACGTGTGTAGTTGACGGAGAGGACGTGTGTGGTTGAGGGGAGAGGACGTGTGTGGTTGAGGGGAGAGGACGTGTGTGTTGACGGAGAGGACGTGTGTGGTTTTGACGGGAGAGGACTTTGTGTGGTTGAGGGGAGAGGACGTGGTGTGGTTGAGGGAGAGGACGTGTGTGGTTGAGGGGAGAGGACGTGTGTGGTTGACGGGAGAGGACGTGTGTGGTTGAGGGGAGAGGACGTGTGTGTGAGGGTTCTGGGCCTACTAACTCAGGACTACCTATTTCACCCGACTGATAATTTATCATAAAAAGTCATATCGTTGGATCGCAGCTACAGTGTTGGAAGAACTCTTATGTGTGAGTTGTGACTGGAGTTACCTAGAGAGGTTTCAGGGGTCAACGCCCCCGCGCTCGGTCTGAGACCAGGCCTCATGGTGAATCAGGGTCTGATCAACCAGGCTGTTACTGCTGGCCGCACAAGTGATATACCTAGTGAAACACGAAATAATTTCAGTCTGAAGTGGCTTTCGTAGGCCTGCCTCCATTTCCCCTCGTCAGCCCCCTCCCCTCTTCCTTGATTTGGAACTCAGCCATTCGCCTTTATCTACTTATGGTGTAGAGGCGAATTTCACCATTCCACGTAAGTGCTTGAGTGCCTCGGGTCAGTTATGAGGTGCCACAGCTGTTAAATAAACAGTCCTGAAGACACTGTACGCCTCTATTATTTAGACAACTTACAGAGGTTGCCAATGAGTAAAGCAACCCACAGCTTGTCAGCCATTATGAAAATGAGTGTGGTGATGATGAGCAAACTGATAAGTGCAGTGGTGTTAATAATTACAAAAATGATGAATCTGATAGTGGTGTTTACAATCACAGTGAAGATGATAAGGGCAGTGAAGATCATCATGATAGTCAAAATGATGAGTGTGGAGATGACCCGGTTGTCGATAATGGTGTATGTATCACTGGTGTCCATAATTTTACTCATAATGATGAGGGCAGTGGTACATGTGATGATAGTGATGAGTGTAATAAAAGTGGAGAGGTGAGTGCGAGGGATAGTGTCACCTTCCATACATTCACAGACAAAGAGCGCCGTGCCTTCTGTATACAAAGACTCCCAAGAGGTCTCACTAATGGAAGTGCACTTAGGAGACTCATGGATAAGGATAATACTGATGATATTGATATTGATTATGTCTGTTTGCTATTTAGTAGCTTTTTCATTTTCTGAGAAATTGAATTCTATCCCTGGACTTTTATAATGGAACCAAACTCGTATAAACTATCCATTTTAAGTTGGAATATTGCGTCACTTAGAAAAAGATTTTCTGACCTTCACCATAAAGTAACTACTGAACCCATTGATATTGTGTGTCTACAAGAGTACAAAGACCCTGAAAACTCCCAGCTCCCTAAATTGCCATCATTTGTTGCATATAACCTCAAATCTACTAATTCTTGTGTTCTATATATTAAAAAATCACTTCCCCATCAACTTCTTGCACATAAGAAAACAGAGGGGCTACAGTATCACGGTGTTAGGATTTATATTGGGAACTCTGCTCTCAACATATTTAACTTGTATGCTCCTGCTGATAAGTTTAATTACTTGGAGCTCCCAACTTGTGCTCAGTCTGAACCTACTCTCATTATTGGCGATTATAATGCAAGACACAAAAGAATTGGAAACTCTCAGTTTGGTAATCGTAATGGTAACCAACTGTTGTCACTCTTAAACAGTCATGATAATGTGCAAATTGTAGGTGATCTTGAACCCACGCATATCTATGGAGGCGTCCTTGATCTGTGTCTTGGCTTCAACATTACTTCTGCCAGCTGTGAGTCTTCCATTGTAACAGATATATCATCAGATCATTTCTCAAGGCTAACCTCTGTAGATATTGGTAATACTATCCTCCCTGGTGAGATATTCAAACGGAAATGTTTTAATGTTCCCCCTGATCAGCATGATGACTTTGTTGCATATGTGACTGACTTCTATAATTCCTATGTGTGTACTTCTGTCGAAACTTTTAACAATGACCTTGTGAGCAGTATTCAGAACTTCTTAGAGCCGCCTCTGAAACCTCCTACTACTCTAAATCCAACTGACTTCCATAATAATCATAAGTCTTATAAAAACCATACCTATTACAATGTTCCTAAACTTCGACCATTGAAACGTACAGTTCGCAGACTAGGCCTAGCCTATAGAAACCATCGTACCCTTGAAATGCTGAGCCTCTTCCAAACTGCCCTTGCTGCTGCCAGAGAGCGTATGACAGAGCTGCGGCAGACTGGGAACAATTTGTCAATGGTGTCCTGCTCACACCCCACTTAGCCGGGCATGGAGGGATATAAATAGAATTAAGGGTAACAGAACTGAGCAGATCGTGCACCCTCATCCCAGTACCAAACAGGCGAAATTAATGAACAAATATGATGCAAGGGAGAGACTGATTTGTTTTATGCTCAGCAAGGAAGATGACTGTTACATTCCTTTCACTAACTTTGAACTTGATGCAGCACTAACAAACGGCAGCTCCACGTCGTCTGGGGAGGATGGTATTACTTACTTGAATTATATAACATGAGGTATGTCACTGGGGAGCCCCCTAAATCATGGACCAACAGCCTCATTATTC